AGGAGGGTCACGGTCCTGTGAAGAAAGGGACGATCTATATGATTTCAGGAGGCCCAACGGATGGGGACTCGAACAATTCAAGGAAGGGGCATGTTCGAGCGATGAAGAGGAAAAGAGAGGAAGTGGGGATTACGGCTCGAACGCCGGAAATAAGTTTTCGGGCAGAAGATATTGAGGGAATGGTGTTGCCTCACAATGATGCATTGGTGATTACGGCGGAGGTGGTAGGTTTTGATGTGAAGAGGGTGTTCATTGATACCGGGAGTTCGGTGGATGTAATGTTTTACGATTGTTTTGTGCAGATAAACAAGGAGCTTAATCTCGGGCTGAAGCCGGTGACCACGGCCTTATATGGATTTAATGGAGGCGAGGTGATGCCAATGGGAGAGGTGAGTCTATCTGTTGCCTTGGGGCAAGGGACGACAAGGAAGGTGAGGATGGCGAGGTTCGTGGTCGTTGGAGCGGAGTCATCATACAACATAATCAGGGGAAGGACCAATTTGAATGCATTCCAGGCGGTCGTGTCGACTTACCATATGACGATCAAATATCCAGTGGGCGAAAACGTTGGTGAGGTCGCAGGGTATCAGCTTACCTCGATGAGCTGTTATCAAACCACGGTGAGCAACAACAAACAGCTCTCGAGGAAGCAGGTGAAGCTCGAGGAGGGAGTGTTGAGTCGACCGGGGAGTTCGAGGTCGAGGGAGGAAAAGGAGAAGGCGGATAGAGGGAATGAGAAGGTGGAAATGCAGCCAGGAGGAGAGATCGAGGAGGTCCAGATGGTGGAAGGGCGCGAGGAGAAGAAGTTTCGAGTAGGAAAGGAGCTTGAGAAGCCCATACGGTCGAGATTGATTGGGTTGATCAGGGAGTTCGCAGATGTTTTCGCGTATACTGCTAAGGAGTTAACGGGGATAAAGGCGGAAGTAATTGAGCATAGGTTGAATATCGATCTGACGGTGAGGCCGGTGAAGCAAAAGAGGAGACACAATGGAGTAGAGATGGATAAGGTGATCGAGCAGGAGGTTGAGAAGTTGTTGAAGGCGGGTCATGTCAAGGAGATTCAGTTCCCCGAGTGGTTGTCGAACACGGTGATGGTGTCTAAGTCGGGAGAAAAGTGGAGGATGTGCATTAATTTTCGTGACTTAAATAAGGCGTGCCCGAAAGATTTGTATCCATTGTCTAGGATTGACCAGCTGGTTGATTCTACCGCGGGGTGTGAGTTGCTCAGTCTTATGGATGCGTCCCAGGGATACCACCAGATCCATTTGGCTCGGGAGGATAGAAAGAGGGTGAGCTTTGTTACGAGCAGGGGCACTTATTGTTATGTGGTGATGCCCTTTGGCTTGAAGAACGCGGGTGCGACGTATCAACGGTTGGTTGATAAAATTTTCAAGGAGCAGCTGGGAAGGAATATGGAGATTTACGTTGATGACATGTTGGTAAAGAGTAAGGCGGAGGCTGATCACGTGAATGATTTAAAGGAGACGTTCTTGACTTTGCGGAGGTATGGCATGAAACTGAATCCCGCTAAGTGTTCTTTCGGAGTGAGGTCAGAAAAATTTTTGGGATATATGGTGACAAAGAGGGGGATCGAGGTCAACCTGAAGAAAGTGAAGGCGGTGATCGAGATGAAACCGCCCATAAAGGTGAAGGAGGTGCAGATCTTGACGGGCAAGATCGCGGGCCTGAGCCGTTTCATATCGAAGGTGGCGGAGAAGAGCGGTCCTCTGTTTCGAACACTGAGAAAGAGCTCAAAATTCCAGTGGACGGAGGAGTCCCAGAGGTCATTCGAGGAGTTACAGAAGGTGTTAGCCAATCTGCCTCTGTTGGCTAAGCCGGTTCGTGGGGAGGATCTAGTGCTATACGTATCGATTGGAGAAATGGCTGTAAGTTCGGTTCTATTGCGGGAAGAAGGCACGGTGCAATTCCCAATCTATTACGTAAGCAGGATGATGCACGGTGCGGAGAGGAGATATTCGGAGATCGAGAAGTGTGCCTTAGCCGTGATGGTCACGGTGAGGAAGTTGCAGCCTTATTTTCTGGGTCACAAGGTGAAGGTGAGGACGAACGTGCCACTGGGAGAAACTTTAGGTCGACCTTCTGTATCGGGTCGGCTAGTGAAGTGGGCGGTCGAGCTGAGTGAATACACGATAACATACGAACCTAGGAGGGCGATCAAGGCACAGGCGTTGGCTGATTTTATACAGGAGGGTACGAAAGCAGAGGAAGAGACAGAAGGTACTTGGCAGATGTTTGTTGATGGCTCAGTATCGAGAGTCGGAGGAGGTTTGGGCATCATGTTAATTTCACCCTAAGGAGACAATTTGGAGTTCGCGGTCAAAGTTGGGTACAAGGTGTCGAACAACGAGGCGGAGTATGAGGCGGTCATTAAAGGAATGCAGTTGGCTATGGCGGGAGGAGCTCGAAAGATTCAAGTGCATTCCGATGAGTAGGGAATGAGGATGCGGCGGTCTCATCTTCACCAGAGTGATGATTTTGTGCGTTAGAATCGACGGAATCTGAAACGTAGAAAGAAAAATTGAGAGGGAAAGAAGAAAAGTTAGGGTTTCGGAAGATGAAGGGGGGTTTTTTTTTCACAGATGAAAAATCGACAAAATAAACACACGCAAACACAAAATTAAAGCACAGAAGACTTACTCATGGTTGCAGTAGAGAGCGGTTGCCGGAAATTGCTTGAAGAAAAGGCGCCGAGAGCAGGAGAGAATAGTTTGCAGAGGAAGAAATCAGGACACAAGGGAGTTCAAAATTTGCAAAAGTGAGAAAAGTCGGAAAATTTACTAAGTACCGTATTTATAAGAGGGCAGAGGAATAAGGTGAAGAGTTAATGGGAATATCCGTTAGATAAAAGGAGATCCAACGGTGGGAAGAGATTAAAGAGGCACAGATAGCGAAGCGGCACGAATCGCGTGGGGGCATGATGATTAAAGGTACTAAACGGAAAGGACATATGGCAGGCGGAAATTACGCTAATAATAAAAGGAAATGGAAGACAGTTAAAGCGCACCATAAAATCGATCACGTGGTCGAAGAATGGTGGCGGCCGCAACCGAAACGATCGAGAGAGGAGATCAGATGTAAGCATGAGGTCGAGAGGGTGGCAGAACGGAGAAGACAGCTCGAATTCACTCTTAGATCGAGTCATTTAGACTCGACCAGAGTGGGGGGGACTAGATGATATGGGATATTATATAGCTAAAGAATAGACCGATTTACCATATTGGTCGGGCAAGCTCGAGGTAGAGAAAACTGTATGAGTCGAGGGATAATCGACCAAAAGGGAAAAAGATCGAGCAGGATAGCAGAACTGGTCGAGGATCGACCTAGCGACGGGGGACTTGGTCAGATCGAGCACTCAACAGGTGAAGAGCAGTCGAGAGCGTGGATTGAACGCGAGAAAGCGTGTGGGCGGTGTTAGAAGATCCTAACGGGATGCGCAGAGAATAATCTCCCTCTGCTCAGAGGGACACGTGGCGAGAATACATTGGTGCAGAGCAATAGTGGTAATAACCACCTCTGATGCCTCTGACACACATATACTGTGTGCGTACGGACGGGCAGTACGGGTAGGACAGCTCACCAGATCCGGGCAGTTCCTAGGGCAGGTACCTCAGTCCTATATATATAGGAGTGAGTCTTTTCTTGTGACTTACGATTTATCCATTACATACTTTGGAGAATTGAATAGAGTATACACTGACTTAAGCATCGGAGGCTCTTCACCGGAAAACCCCTCCGGTGTGAAAGTTCTGTGCGGGTGTGCGGCGTTCTACCGGCGAGGAGGAGGAAGACGAGCCGTATTCAAGCCGGTCGGAGAGTTTTGCGTTATCAAACTTGATTTTTTTAGATAAAATGATTATTTAATTGGGTAACTTAACAAAAGGTGTATAAAATAATTTTATTAATTAGTTCATGATAAATGAGATGCAAAAAAAATATATGATATATTTTACTATAAATAAGTGGGAGCAAATGTCTATTTTCACTTAATTTAATGCCAAATTTTGTTTTATTATGCTTAAAATTGAAATTTTTTATGTAGATGTAATTTGCATAAATAAATAGATTTTTCAATTTATAGTTGTCAAAATCAAATTAATAAATAAAAAATTATTAAAATAATAATAGACGGTAATAAAAAAAATAGTTTAGATTGGGTTTTTTTTTAATTCGTATTATTTTGTAAAGTTTGCAAGGATATTTATAAATTATCACATTATACTAATATTTATAAGTGTAGACGGATTAGAATTATTATAAGCATACTAACATTTTTTCTTATTTTGATAAATTAGATTATGTCTTTTGGTTTGCTTTATTTAATTAAAATAATATTATTTGTAATTATTCTTTAATTTAAATAATATTCAAATAATTGTCAATATTTTTTAAGTAATGACGGTAAAAATATTAGAAAATGAAATAAATACCACTCAATTAGCAATTATATCGTTTACTTTTCCACCCCAAATTAAAATTTATCAACGCCCTTACTTTTTCACTCGATATTTATTTTTATAAAATTATTTTTAATATTTATTTCTCGCATCATATTCATAGTAAATTAATTTTATTATGTCATCTCGCTTTGAGTGAATGAGAGAGACTTGAAGAACTCATTTTATTTTATTTTTTTGAAAAATTGCAAAATTGGTCCCAAAAATTACAAAATTGGTCCAATCTAACATCCTCACATGAGTTCCGTCAATCTTGACGGACGTGGGACCATTTTGACAACGAAAATTCAAAAAGGACCATAATTGACGTGCCTGAGACCAAATGTGAGAAACAACAAAAATTTTGGAATCGAATTTTCAATTTTCTCAATTTGCGTATTATTTCATGAAAGTAAACTAAAGGGAAAAGGAAAACGAACGAAAAGTCATTTCACAAATGACTGCTCGGACGAAATTGCCCTCTCCCCCAAACAGTATAAGTGGCGCACTAAACGCATGAGTTTCAAAATTATGGCGCAATAGGAAATCGGAGAAGACTGTCAAGAGGCAGAAAGCCTCGAGCTGAGTTCTCAACTGCTGATTTCAATTCCTCTGCTTTTTTCGCTCTCCATTCACAGATCCATACCGATTCAATCTCGCTACACAGAAAGCTCTCAATCTCACAAGGTCATGATGCAAGTTTCATTTACAGTTCGCGATAATTCTGTTTTGCTGTTCGTATGATGGAAAGTTTTGAATCACACTGTATTTCGCATTTTCTTAGTTTGATATGATTAAACGAGATTCCTGATTATGAATCCTAGTTTGCCAATTTTCTCTTCGTGTTTTCTGTTGAAGTTCTGCGGCGAAGTTTGGCTGCGCGGTTCTCTGAGATTTTTTAATTTGTAGAATGGCGCGGATTGAAATACTTCAACGAAGATTCTGTATGCCTATTCTCTATTTTGATATCCTGGTGTTTCAATGTAGACTTGGAATTGAATTTTCTGGTTTGGATTCTCTCATCTGCAGCCGATCTGTTTTTTTTTTTTTTNCGCCGTGAAATTTCTGATTTCCGTTCATTGACCGGAAAAATCGTTCGCATGTTGAATTTGATTTTAGTTTTTCTGGTGTTTCGGTTTGAATATGCAGTAACTCTACGTCAGACGATCACTTGCGAGTCATGTCCATGGAAAACCGACACAGTCCAAGCAAATCACCACAAGGTGCAGTCCGCGAAGAGCTGTACCTGCCGGAAGAGGAAGAGCTCGCCGAATTCGGAGTTGTGGTGACGGAGGAAAGGAGAGCTGTTCTGGAGGAGCAAAGGAGAGCTCTCATGGCCGAAGAAAGAAGAGCTAATCTAATGGTTATTTTTCTCTCTTTTTTTTCTGTTATTTTTGTGAAAACAAATGGCTGAAAACTTGTTGCATTTTGCTTTAATTAGAAATTGATGCGTTTGTAAAACGTGATTTCAATTCAACAGTTCCCAACCCTCACAGAGGCACAAGGCCGTCCTCGTGAATCACTCAGGAAACGCAGGGGTGGTCTGGTATTCTCTCTCTCTCTCTCTCTCTCTCTCTCTCTCTCTCTCTCTCTCTCTCTCTCTATCTTCTACACACACGAGCAGATATCTTTTTTGGGAATTAATTTGGATTGAAAACTATTGAACTTTTATATGTAGCATACTAGTCTCAGCATTTACATCACTTATGTATATACTGTGTCATTTCTACATTTCATTTTGTTTTGCCATAAAAAAATAAAAAAATAAAAATGCGAAATCAAACATCTTTTCTCCTTTTATTTTTAAAGCCGAAAAAAAAGAAACCAGAAGCATCAACATCAGCAGCACCAGCACAAGAAGAACCACAAGCACTACTACCCGCAGCAGCTCCTGATGACGTGGCCGAATCCCCATCCTCATCCCAGCAAACCGAACAATCTTCTGTGACTGTGAGTATCACATTCTAACGTAATAAACCTGCAAATTGAAATAAGCCTCTATTCACTTCAACGTAATAAAACTGCAAATTAAATAAGCCTCTATTCACTTAATTGAACTTCTGATTATGAGGGAATTAATCTAAATCACTTATTTGCTTTGTGGAAAAAAAATATACAGGATGGCTCGTCTGATGCCAAACCAGAAAAAATGGTGCAGTAAATTCTGTCTGATTGACCTTAGAAGGCTACCTGTATCTACTAACATGCCTCAAGATGAAAATGAAGGTATACAAGAGTAAACAGTTTCTTGATATTACACTGAACGTCTTTACCATGGATAAACCCCTAGTATGTTTCTGTTTTTGCAAGTACGTACATACTCTGCCGTCTCTCTAGGAAAGTAAGTAGTGTATGATAATAGCAAACACTTGCTCTGCAGTCTGCGTGCACGAATGGCTTTGATTCGAACTTTATAATTGCCGTGCTCTTGCTTTACTCTTTCAGTTCTGGAAATTCTGGTAGCTTACTAGTTATTGGTGGAGTTGAATAATACTCTGAGACACAGTACAAACCTGTGAACCTGCTGCTTGATTCTGCATATATTGCAAAGAGTCAGTTTTTGTTTGGAAGAATCAAATTACGCATGCTCTCCAGATTAAATGAATGCATGCTTACTTACACATGAGGAATTAGTGTTTACTGTTTACCTATTATACATCATTTTCTGGTCTTGGAAGATGGTTGTTTTTATATGCTTGAGTTCTCTTCTGTTGTGTAGCCTGCTTGGCTTTGGGCTTATCCTATAACATTAGCTGCAGTCTATATTTGTAGATTATTGTGTTCTTATTGCAGTCTTCAGTTCTTTAGGAGAAACCTTGAAAAATAAGATTCTTATATCTAAGCACTCTACAAAATTGGGAGGGGACTAAATCATGCACCACAATAGAAATATTTACTGATAAATGTTGGAAAATGATAATTTGGTGGTTGTATAGATGCAAAATAAGTTACTATTCCTGAAACTATTAGAGTATATACCTATATGCAATATAATAATTCATCTTTTAGGTATATAATTTCATAAAAAGTTGAGTCTTATTTTTCTTACTTGCAAAAGTTCATGCTTCTATTGCCCCACATATTTACTCTGATATTATCAACAAGGGTTGAAAATTATCATAAATTATTCTTTTTTTTTTCCCTAAGTTACCATATATTGCATATTCATTTATTATTTGATCCATGACTTAATTACTATAAACATGTCTCATTCTTATCTTTAGTATTTTATTTTTTTATTTGAAATAAACATGTCTCATTCTTTCTTTTAATATTTTATCTTTTTTACTTTGTATTTCATTGTTCATATATGATATCACCGTAGTCCTACTTTAACAATCTTAAATTTGACATCTATAAATGAATATAAAATAATTACGTCTTTCTTTATAAATAAAATTTTAATTCACTTATCAATTAATTAAGAATATAAAATAAAATATTGACTATCTTATAAAATTATAAACTTTTTAAATTACTATATCATAAACTATATATTTTTCTATAAAATCGTGAAAAAAATATGTAAATAATTAAGTGGAACATAAAATGAATGTAAATAAAAATTGTACAGATTCATGTGTCTTACTTAAATAAAGTATATTGAGAGGTTACAATGTTATTATGATGTTGAAAACGAAAAAATGTAAATAAATACTATAACTAAAAATAATAAATATAATTATGATATTTCATAAAGTTTACGAATATTATAATTTTTCATATTAATTTATATATATTTTGAATTATCAAATATTATAATGTTGAATATACTAGAAAACGGAAGTGTCAAAATATTTTGATTACAATTTCAAAAATAGAAAAAGAAAAAGTATATGTTTCTCCAAGGTATTTAGCAAGTATAGCGCCTCTAATTAGATTGACGTTGAGAGGGAATTTGTCCACTGTAGATGTGCTATTGGGCTTGAACAGGGGCCCCGTTGATTCTAGTAAACATTCATGGACTTCTTATAAACTTTATTGGCAGGCTTATTCATTAATTTATCATTCCCCACAACAGGAGTTCGAAATACCCGAAAAAGTCCTCCCAATAAGTTCTCAACTAGAAAAACCCAGTGAGCCTATTTATCCAAAATTCCAGCAAGCTAGAGAAACTCTAACTAGAAACAAAATGATTAATAGCAAAATAATAACTCCCCACGATGATGGATGATGCGAGTCCACAACGGGCCATCCTTAACCATATGCCATTGAGCAGTAAATTTCTGTCCGATGGGTGGATCCCAGTTAGCCTCTCAAATCTCTTTCCTGGTCTTTTCCACTTTAGAAATTTCCTCTCCATGGTTAAGTGCTGCAAGAAAAATGAA